ATCTCATTGTTTGTAAAGTTGACAATAGATTGAATCATTTCAATCGTAATATAACTATTAAACAATGAATAATTATTATTCGCCTTTTCTTTACTTATTTTTGGCCCAAATCTTTCTCGAATAATGTTTTGTGTATTGGTTTTTGATGGCTGAGAAGACGTTACGATAGATGTATTATAGTCATCATCGCTATCGCTCCCCAACTCTTCAGCACTTTGTTCAGTATCTGAAGAATGATTCGAGTCTTGCAGGTCATCGATCTCTTCATTACTGGAGTTGTCGTCGACGTCCGATATGTCTAACAGGTCTTCCAGTTGTTGTTTGGTTAAAATCTGTTTTCGACTCATTTTACAAGTAATAAACAAATAATTAAAACACAACAAAAATGTTTGTTTACTAATAAGACTAATAAGGAAACGGATATTATTGGGACTATTTTTGCGTATAAATTACGCTCAAACATAGCCCCACATTCCTATTTAAATAGGAATGTGGGGCCAAAACTATTAACAATAATTTATGTATTGAAAATGTACTCATTATTGCAGTATTACAGTTCAATAAACGCTTTGCTAGTCGTAGAAGCACTGCTTACACCACAAAACAAAATCCAAGCATATAGTGCTATAAGCATTGGTCCCGATGGAGGCACCGATGCTATCCATTTGAGGGGCGAGTTGTACGCAAACTCTGCCAACACTTACTTTCATCACAATACAATCTTATTGTGCTGGGTGATATGCGCGACATCTAATAACTGATTTGTCAAAACCCTGTACAGTACCTTACGAGCACTGCATTCACGTTATACAATGCAGTGGCAAAATAGTGCGTAGAAATGGGCACTCAGTATGTAGGGGCGCGTCGAAATATGCTATATAGCAAAAATGCACTAAAATGTTAAGAGTTCAAAAAGTTTAATGTTTGACAACGTGGCCGTTTTCGGGAAGTGACCTCTCTTTGAAAATCTACTGCTCGGACACAGGACATGATAATCAAATTTTGATTAATTCAATATTTACTCAAATGTTTGATTGAGGAATACATTGGAATCTTATTACACTGACACTTATAACTGATTTTAGCCAGTAGTTTTAATATCAAAAGTCTCTGCAGAGGCCAGCGTTGTGAACTAATGGTTAAGAGCCACTCCATGTGCTCTCAGAGTTAGTCTTGGTTTGAGTGCCCAACTGTTCAGTTGCCTCACCACTGCTCCACTCGATCAGAGTGTCAGCCATTTTATCTCATTGTTCTCATAGCTAATCGGCCACACCGTTGGACCAGCTCTTCATCTCTTATACTAATCGGCATACCAGTATTTTATACCACTTTTATCTAAAGTTTTACCATATTTTGTTATACATTTGTGACTAAAATAAACTTACATTCGTTGAGTAACTCATTGGTCATCAATTCATTCGCTATTAAATCTACGATAACGGCAACAGTACTTTTGCCGCTATCCCTAATTACCCTCGTTGGGCAATTACAAGACAATTACCCTGACTGGGCAATTACACGACAATTACCCTGACTGGGCGATTGCACTCCTCATCACCGCTCGGCTATCCTCCACATCTCTGGCCACGATTTGCGTGAACACCTCGTAATCAAACCCTCTCCACGACAGCACTGCCTCTCTATCGGCGCCATCGATCAGACAGCGCACCGTAAAGAGTCGGCACAACTTTATTACTTATCGGCGAATCTCTATCTGAGACCAAACCATAAGAATATAATACTATATATTATATAAACTTGACATTTACTAAACTTTGCCATATAATCAACTAAATGCAACAAAACTAGATTTTATACTTAGTTTTAAAATCAATTTAATTAATATATTGTAGTGTTTAAAGCAAATATAAACTTGTAATTTATTTATCAAATAAACCTTTACAAAATGTGGTCCAAACTATCTGTAAAGAGTTGTATAACAAATGCATTACTAGTGTGTGGATTTTTGTACCAAACGTATGAAATGAGTTTAATATACTTCTCATACGAAACCACAACAACCATACGCTCAGAATTGCCATCAGAGCTGTACCCGCCGGGGCTCACCATATGTACACACATTGATCCTGTCGTAAGATCAATTATAACCACCAATAAATCCATCGAGCAAACAATCAATGGATCAATGAGACCAATGTCTAATAATGGGATTAATAAAATAATTGACCATGTTGGCAATCATAACATGTATACATGTGATTATGGTACAAGTCCAAGAAAGCCATGTAATAAAATAGCACCGATTCGGGTTGGTTTAAATTTAAATTATGCCACATCAAACATAATGTGTTGGTCAGTGTTTTCGCAATGGGCGGGCGAGTCGGACACTGAGTATATGTTGGACACCCAGGGCAATTCAAACAGAATGTTGACGTTTGTATTCACTAATTAATCATTGATTAATAATGTAATATATATAAATTTTCATTCGCGGCGAGACCGGTTGCGCAACTTTTACTGGAAACACTTGCTAAGATTGCATTTGGGTGAAATTACACGCGCCGAGATTAAGTATCACAAATCGACCATTATATTAAAATATAAATTTAATGACCAGAGATGTTTAGTGAAACACAGTATTGCTCAATATATTGACGAATGTTTTATTCGTCACTATCACCAAAAGTACTCTGTATTACCTTTAGATTATATTTACTTTAAAGGCATCGATAAAAGCAATCGTACGGCAAGTCATGGACTAATTGAAGACACGGCTATTGAACAACACTGCGTACGTGAATACAAAGATCGATTAGAGTGTATACAACACTACCACTCATTTTATTATGAAAGCGATAAATTAATTCATTATAATAAACCATATATTGTAGAAATACTTTTCCAAATACCGTCAGAACCCGATATGATGTACGAGATATCGCTGAAAATGTCACTCGATGAGTATATGTTGTTTATGGGATCACTTGTGGGCCTATGGTTTGGTGTATCGGTCCTTATGTTCACTAATCTATTCCTGCAATTGTTGAGCAAAATTAAACCTTATATCTGTAATAATAAGCAAATTATTATAAACCATACAAACAATACAAATCAGTTATTTACTATAGGAAAAGCCAGACCTAACCGTAGACGTAGTTGGAAAACGTAATCATGATCAATCTTAAACTTAGAGAGAAATAACAATAGAAATTTTCAAATAAATTAATTTATTATTTAACATATTTGTGTACTACTAAAATTTAAATTAATTAAATAGTTTATGACATTTGCTCAAGAGTAGGGTGACCACCAAAAATCCTCTTAAAAAGGACGACTGGTATAAAATAGTCATTAAAAAAGGACAAAATAAAGGACGCAAATTTTTTTTAACCCTATGCATTTTCCTTTGTTTTGTCACACATTTTAAATGAATATTTAAATGAAAACACTTTTAATTAACAAAATTATCTGATTTTATAATAGTTTTCTGTTAACAATTACCACATTTTTAAATATATTTCTACTTTATTATTATTATTTACTGTTTATGTGCTGTAATGTCTAAACTTTACAGATCTACAGTGCATATTTTAAAACATATTAACCTTTTATATTGAAATTACAAAAATTCAAAAAAGGACGCGTCCTTCTTTACTCTGTTTTCAGAAGTCGAAAAAAGGACAAAACCCATAAAAAAGGACGTTCTGGTCACCCTACTCAAGAGGCATTTTAAAATATTAATTTTAGTTAAAAAATAAAATAACTAATTTTTACATTATATAAAATGTTTTTAATAGACTAATTATCTAGATCATCATCAGTAATTATTAAAACAAATAAAATTGTTTCGTAATTTTTTAAGAAATATTTGAAATTATAAACCAAACATGTACATTGTCAATAAGACCCTTTCATATTATATGGGTAACTAAAAATTAGATTGTTTAATTAATATAAATACCTAAACTATATTAATTGTTAATAACTATGGACCATAGACTATGGTATTAGTGTTTTGATATTAGTAGTAAAACAAATTAAACTAGATAATATAAAATAATAAATGAATTGTTATAAATTTCTACGAAAATCAAATTTATCAATATGATAAACCAAATGATAGTTTCACACGCGCTGTATAACAATTCGAATAAACTGCTGCAACATTTACTACATTGTACTAAATAATTATCTAAAATTTTAAATGCTGTTATACCAGATTAAATTGGCGCATGGTGTATGTTTTGAGAGTGCCCTTAAATAATTTATAAACTAATTTAAAATTTAATAAAAGTTCATAATATTAATGCATTTACATATTAAAAATAACACAATAACTTTTACATTAGTTATACTAGTATCTTTATACTACTTTATATCTTTACATACTATATATTGTATATTCTATTCAGAATAGATTGCCATTTTTTAATTATTTGCCCTAAAATTATTAATTTGTCACATATTCCTATAATAATTATAAGATCCTTAATAAATATAATATTTACTAACCCATAGCCCGGATTGGCGGCCTTGAAAGCTCTGTTACTTTATAAACAATTTTTGATATTTACAGTAATAATAATATCAATGTCATTAGTAATAATAATTTCAATACATTGAATGTATGTATGTATGTATGTGTGTGTGAGAGAGAAGCCCACCACCAGAGGTAATGCAATATATTTAATAGATATAATATTTATTATTAGAGTTACATTGAAATTGTTCGAAACAATTAGGTAACAAGAAATATGTAAATATTATTATACAATTTAAACTACACTATTCTTAAAAGAACTAAATAGTTATTGATAAGAAATGTTGTAATTTCCAAGAAAATAAAATTTAAATCAGAGAAATTTATTGATACAATATTACTTTTATATCAGCATAATAGTTTAGTACATTGGGCTTATATTGATATTTATTGCAAACAAACAAGCTTAAATTGTGCAAGGTATAACAAATTATACTATAAATAGTTTGAAATATTAATTTCACTTTATATGATTTTCATTAATAACAAAATAATTATAATGAATATATCATTAGTATTATTAGTCGCGTATATCGCTGTCTGTAATGGACTGCCATTTGCCGATCAATTGGCCGCCAATGATGTGGACAATAGCCATAAATGGGTCGTATTGTGCGCCGGGAGTAATGGATGGGAAAATTATGCCGATCAGGTATATTAATATTTAAAATAAATTAATTTCATATTAATAATTTTAATTATTTTTACCTTTATCATTTAGGCATTAGTATACCGGGCATATCATACGTTCCGCTCGTATGGCATACCTGAGAGCAATATAATTGTCATGCATTACGACGATATCGCACATCACACCAAAAACCCTAATCCAGGGGTTGTCATAAACGAAATTGGGGGTAAAAATCTGTACCATGATATTCCCAAAGATTATATCGGCACCGAAGTTAACCCTACGGTAAGGTTAAATTAAATTATTAATTAAATATTAATTGTATTGATTATATTTAAATTCTATGTAGAACTTTTTGGGAGCAATTAGTGGTGACCCAGAGTTAGTGAAGAGAGGCAAGAAAGTGGTTAAAAGCGGGCCAAACGATCACGTGTTTGTGTATTTTGGCGATCATGGTGCACCTGGTAATATAAAATATTTATTAAAATTAATATATTATTTTATCATGTTCAATATTTGACTTACCATATTAAAGGAATGGTCGAATTTAACAATGGCAAAGTTTTATATGCAACTGACTTAATCAAAACATTACAGAGTATGCATTTGATGAAAAAATACGCCAAGCTTGTTTTCTACATTGATACTTGTAGTTCAGGTAATTGTATTCTAAAATTAAATAATAATTAATAAAAATTTAACACGGTAGCTTTTCTTAATTAATTATTTTTACATTTCATTTACCAGGCTCTATGTTCAATAAAGTACTACCTGATAACATAAATGTGTACGCGGTCACATCATCCCTGCCAGATGAAACTAGCAACTTTTTTACGTACGATGCCAAACTGAAAACATATATAAGTACGGTAAATTTATTACACACTTTATATTGTAATTAACAAATAATAATTTTACCCTCAAACAGTTTGTACAGTTAGTAACTTTACAATAAATTTAATTTAATAAAAATTAATTCAAAACATAATAAGTTTATGTAAAAATATATTATTTATTAAAAATTTGTCATTTATATAACAATATATTTAAATAGCAATTGTGCGTTATAAGCATTCTATGTTATAACTCAAATCTCAAAACCAAAACATACATGTATATTTAATGTTAAAATAATGTCTATATTAACCCACTATATTGGGTACTACTATGTTATTAACCAAAAGCCATGGACTCGATCTATTCATTACACACAGTTTCCACTGTATATTGTTATGCAATGTTTCTATACGAGAGTAGACTTCATGGCTGGTGAGTACGAGAGTATATCGCGAGGGCAGCACTAAAAGTAATGATCAATAGTAAAAGCACATACTTAACGGTGGACCGGGTGTAGCACATCTTGGCAACATGTTAGTGTTTTACATCTTCGTGCTAACGCTGGCCAAAAAATGGGTCGTATTGTGCGCCAGCAGTAGGGGTTGGGGGCAATTATGGGGATCAGGTATGTTAGTCAGCACAAAAAACCATGTTTTACATTGACCACTATGAAAATAAAATATTAATTATTATTGTAATAAATAGTAGGCTATTGTCTAACGGGCGTACCATCTGTTCAAGGCTTATGGCATACCTGATAGCAATTTAATTGTCATGCATTACGACGATATCGCTAACAACTCTGAAAACACTACGCCACGTATTGTAGTCAACGATATCGGCGGTCCCGATGTCTATAAGGGTGTCACCAAAGACTATACCGGCAAAGATGTCAATCCGTAGGTAATTAAACGCATAAATTATATTTTATTGCGAATAATTGTAAATAATGTTATATTGTTGAATTCTAGTATTTAATACTATTTATTCTGTTTTACTATTTTATTAACAATATGATATTATTTATAGACCTTTTTGAAAGTACTTCAAGGTGATGCTGAATTAGCTGCTGCTGGCAAAAAAGTAGTCAAGAGTGGACCGAATGATCACGTGTTTGTCTATTTTGGTGACCATGGATCAACAGGTATAATTAAAGCTATTTACTATTTGTATTAGCACATTGTTAATGTTATATCTCGCAAATAGATCTGGTTGCTTTCCCCTCATCCTACTTATACGCTAAGGACTTAAACGCAGTTTTGGTCAAATTGAACGAGGAGAAAAAGTTTGCCCAGCTCACAATCTACTTGGACACATGCGATTCAGGTACTTTAATTGATATTTGAATGTTTGAAACTTTGTCAAAATTAAGACTAACTTGTTGCAACTATTGTTATAACCAGGCTCAATGTTCCGAAACCATTTGCCCGCCAATGTTAATGTGTACGCATCCACATCGTCCGATTACGACGAGCTCAGTTGGTTTTACATCTACGATGATAAATATAAAACTTATATAAGTAATGCAACTACAGAAAAATTGTAATAATTTTCATTACTAACTACAATTATTTATTCAACCAGGCTCATTCTTTGCCGACAACTGGCTGGACAATGAGGCGCAGTCAGACATAAACACCGAGACATTACAACAACAATACCAATACCTCAAAGACCACCACACCGTCCAAAACCCGCACTCAAACACCACACATGAAATACACGCCCAACAGTACGGAGATCTGAACGTGGCCAAGACCAAGGTGGCCGAGTTTTTGGGTATGTAGGATTGATTTTGTATAATGCTAGTGATTTAAGTTTAATTAATTACATTTTGTTTTTAAATATAAGGTCTTAAACCTAAAAACGCCAATAGATTTGTGCCACACTTGGGCTCAAACACCGATGAGGTCAACAAATACGATGTGTCCATAGATTTACTGCAGAGACGTATTGCCAGCGCTCAGGATATCAATGAGAAAAATAGGTAATTACTTGTTTATATTTATATAAATGATACAAAAATTAATATATTATATTTACTTTGATTTTCAGTTTTATTGTCGAGTTGGAGGGCTTATACGCCGGCAGACAATATGTCGACAAACATATCAATAATTACGTGAATAGTATTTAACACTTACTGACAGTCGATAGCAATGCTATTCTAAACACTAAACAAGAGCTCAATAACGGAGAGTGTTATCGAAAATTTGTCGCTACTTTCCACGAAAATTGCTTCAATTTGGGCGAAGTATGTATTCATTAAATTTTTATGATTAATTGTGGTAATTTGTATTAAATTAATTTATTTATTTATTACTTAGAACTCTTATGTATTGAGAAAAATGCATGTTTTTGCCAATATATGCGCCAGTATTAGCGAAACCCAAGTCAATAACGCTATTGAAAATTTGGTCGAGTCGTGTCAACAACATTCAGCTAAAACTTTCGAGGCTATTGTTTAAACAATGATGCTTTGTTGTGATAATTGTTATTAGATTGTTTTATTATTGTATTTTAATTGTTATGTTATTATTAATACAAATTAAATAAATATATTTTGCAAAACGTATTTTATTGTCAAACTTTTTAATTATAAACTTTAATTAATTATTTGCAAGTTTTAAAAGTATTATTAATAGCAACCAAGGGTTATTAAATCATTTTACTAGTGTTACCGTGAATAAATCACAATTAATGAAATATTTAACAACTGTTTTTATAAAACAAAACAACAAGTACAATTTTATTTATTTTTAATTCCTTAATTAATATTAATTTATTATTAATACAGGTTTATGTAAGCAAGTTACATATTTTATGAATATAAATAGTTGCATAACATAACCATATGGCATTTTAGTATACTGTAAGTTAGTATTACTAACGAATAAAACAAAATACAACGTGTATTAACAAAGTACACGCCATGTTTGTTACGCTATTATTACTATCATTATATTTCATTTCGGTCACCTCATCGGTCAGTCAATTTGACGCACCGCTAGAGATACTAATAAGACGTCTCGAATCGGTTAAGAATACCGCCAAAAAATTAGGGTAAGTTTATATCTAGATTTAAATTTTTAATTAGTATTAATTTTTGTTGGTAGGAGTTGATCCAGATGCTATACTAAAGGGCAAACACCCGCTTCATCACAGAAAGTGTTACCGAAAATTTGTCAACACTTTTAATGAAAAGTGCTTTAATTTGAACAAGGTATTATTTTATGAATTTGTATTTTTATAATATTTAATTACATTTATTTATTTATTCCTAACAGAATCCATACGCTCTGAAGAAAATGCAACTTTTTGTGAATATTTGCGAAACACTGCGCGATAGGAATGACGCGGATATCGCACTCAACCAATTGATATCTTACTGTCACATTAATATTGACCAGAATATGGCACAAAAAATTCAATAAGTTTGTTGTAATAAGGCTAACAATGTACATGATCATCACAGCTAAAATCAATATAAAATATATAAAACATTTTTATATTGTTTGCAAAACATTACATTTGTATCAGAGAAACAGTAGACCTTATAATTTACACAAATTTCGTATATATATACTTATAAATTAATGCTAAAAAGCCGCTATCTACGCTAGATAGCTTGTTTTTACAACTAATTTGTAAGTTTATATATACGAAATTTGTGTGAATTATAAGGTCTACTGTTTCTCTGATTTGTATTATGAATTGATGAGGATCATTTAAGGCTTAATCCTCTATAAAATAATTATCAATATTTATAATATTTTAGTATATTTTTTAATTCAATGAATAACTGGACAGCTTTTTTTTTTAAAAACCCGACTAGCTTTAAATGGTTCTGGTCAAATTAATTTTTGATGGCATATAATTTAAATAATATGTACAATTTTAGTTAATTACAAAATTAAATTTTATGTTGTTTATTTTTTAATTATTTTGTGCAATAGACATTGTATTTACTAGATAAGATAATCTAGTTTCGATATATGGTTGTTTTCTCACCAATGTACACCTAACGAGTTTACATTTCATAGGTTTACAAAATTTTTATTTATACAATAATTATCAAGTGTATGATTTTAACTGCCTAAATTTGTAAGTCAACTTGGTACATTATAATCTTAACAATTAAATAATGTAATTCAAATTGCAATAATTATAAGTAATAATATTATCATTTTACTATTAGCAATAATATTAAAAGCAATCTTGGTTTAATTGGTTCCCGATTTTGCAACCAATAATCGTGAGAATTATAGCATACTATTGGGTGAGTCATTAAACTTGGTGTTTACTGTTAAATATTTTAATGCAGTATATATAAACTAAACGTATAAGTTGCATTTATCACAATTAACAATTATATTAATAATGAAAACATTAAATCTGTTAACTTTTACTATAATTTTAGTGTTAGTGAACGGGGTCCCATTCATCTCGCAAAATGACCCTGGTTCAATTGGCAAAAATTGGGTGGTGTTATGCGCCGGGTCAGGCGAATGGATTAACTATTTTGTCCAGGTAAAGCTGTATATTGATAAATTAAAGTAAAATATAAAATTACCTTACTAAATCATAATTACCCTGTAGGCCGACATATACCACGCGTACCAATTGGTTCGATCGCAGGGTATTCCCGATGAAAACATAATTGTTATGCACATCGATGATATAGCTCACAATCCGGCCAACCCTACGCCTAACATTATTGTTAACCATGGTAATGGCACCGATGTTTACCACGGAGTGCCCAAACACTATACTAGTGATGATGTCACAATAAAGGTATAAGGACAATAACAACATTAAATAGTCAAATTTAATTTATTTTATTAAACGTCAAATTTGTAACATGACAGAACTTTTTGGGCGTTCTACAAGGTGATCAAGAATTAGTCAAGCAGGGTAAAAAAGTGGTCAATAGTGGGCTCAACGATCGTATATTTGTTTATTTATTGAGCCATGGTGAGAACGGTGAGTAATTCTGTTATTTTACAAATCTAGAACTATTAAATAAATTATTAATTAATTTGTGTACATTAGAGGTCGTATTATTCCCGAATAATACTGTACTCCACGCCGAAGAGCTAAACAATGTTCTAAAGGCTATGCATAAAAATAATAGATTTTCACAGATGGTATTTTATCTTGGATCATGTTTAGCAGGTAAATAAGAGAGAGAGAGAGAGAGAGTGGTTTAAAACATTTATTTCATAAAAGGCAAAAAAAAACTATTAATATTAAATTTTAATTAGGATCAATGTTTGCCAATTATTTACCTGCCGATATAAATGTTTACGCCCTAGCTGCGAGTCGACCAGATGAATATGGTGCCCAATATAGTTACGACTATTTACGTAGATCTTTTACAGGTAATTGTTAAATATAATAATGTTTATTGGTTTTTATTATATTAATTTAATAATTATATATTTGTAGCATCATACTTTGCCACAATGTGGTTTAAAAATAGCCAGATCTATTACCCTGACATGGAGTCCCTAAACGACCAATACCAATACATTGCTGATCGGCCCAATTTAACCATATCTGGTTGGTGGCCACCTGGCACAAATACTACATTTGTAATGGATTGGACTCAGCATGCTCAACAATATGGGGATAAACATATTGGTCAACAACATGTTTCAGAGTATATGGGTAATTAATTAGAGTCTTATTGTACAATTGTAGTTATTTTAAAAATGCAAATGAATTTTTTGCTTTATTTAATTTAGGTAAATTACATTCTGGTGCAAACTATGCGATTGACTCAGAATTGCCAGAATTGGCTGATTTGGCAGACAATAGGAATGTGGTCATACATTTAGCTCAAATGAATATCGCATTGTCTGAGGATATCAATGAAAAACAACGGTATTTACTAACTATGAACTTACTGTTATTTTCTGTGTATATACTGTATATAAATAATTTTATAATAATTAATTAATTTTAATTAATAGATATGAGAATGAATTACAGAGATTACTGGATGGCCGGCAATATGTAAACAAAATTATAACTGAATACGTGAATAGTATTCAACACTTACTGACAGTCGATAGCAATGCTATTCTAAACACTAAACAAGAGCTCAATAATAGACAATGTTATCGAAAGTTTGTCGATGTTTATAGCAAATATTGCTTTAATTTTAACCAGGTATTTATATAATAATAACTGCTAAATTTTGAAATTAATTTTAATTGTAACATAATATTAATTAAACAGAATTTATACGCTTTCCATAAGTTGTGGGTATTTGTAAATATATGCGAGACATTGAATACAGTGTCTGAACACTCGGATTATGAGAGCATTGCGTTAAATAGACTTCAAGAGTATTGCAGTGAAAATATTGACCGATCTTTTGCCCAAAATTTGCATTAAATTTTATTAAATTTTCTTAATTATAAACATGATTATTAAAGCTACTAATTAAGTAGCTTGATCAATTATTTTAAATTCAAATAATTATACAATACTTAAAAGTATTACCTAAGCAAATTAATTGTAAAACCTTAAGTATTTATAATAAAAAACAGTAAAAACTAAATTCTTACTTTTGTTTTTTTGTAATTAAAATTGAATTTTCGGAAAATAATATAAGTTATTACCATTTAATCTATGGTAATTTTCTGCATGATTAATTTTAGTTATATGTTTATTTGTATCTATTATTTGTAATTTATTGTAATTATATGTAATTTTTTGTATTTACATGGTACGATAGTTTAGGTTAGATAAAAGTTGTTTTCATAATTTGCATATATAGACCTAATTTCTAGCAAACTATTATTTAAATTGTTGAAGATAATACATTATTTATTTCTTATTAAAATGTGTGTTCGTTGTTTTGTTGTTTTTAGTATAAAATCATATACAGTGCAGTATTGTATAACTGATCTTTTTAATTTAGAATATTTTATGTGTATGATAATAAATATTGATTATATTAATATTACTATACAAAATATTAAAATTAATCATTTATGGTGCATAAACATGATACTAAATTTAAATGTTTTTGTATAAATACATAATCAATAAAACAAATCCTAAACTTACTGCATATAAATGAATTGTATATTAAACTTTGACATACACTTTGTACATATTGTCGAATAGATGCAACAAGGCTATATTATTATACTAATGTTAACTTCTTTAATTTAATTTATAGTGTTTAAAAAAACATAATTTATTTCAAATACAATTTTAGTAAAATGTGGTTCAAAATATCCGTAAAGAGTTGTATATTGAAAACACTACTATTGTGTGGATTTCTATAACAAACGTATGAAATGAGTTTAATATACTTCTCATACAAGACCACAACAACCATAGGTAGAGAATTGCCAACAGAGATGTATCCGCCGGGACTCACCATTTGTACGGAAATTAGTCCACTTATAAGATCTATTATTGCCACAAATGACCATAAACAAACAATCGATATGAGATCAATGCCTAATTATCAAATAAATAAAATAATTGACTTTGTTGGCAATTACAACGTTTATAATTGTTACTATCGTGGGGGTAAAAAAATCAATGCAATAACCTAGCACCAATTCGTGTGGGTCTAAATTTAAACTGGTACAAAGAAAATATAATGAGTTGGTCAGTGTTTTCGCAATGGAAAGGCGAGTCAGACACTCAGTATAAATTAAACATCTCGGGCTCTACAAACAGAATGTTGTTATTTGTATTTACTAATGTTGCATTAATTCGTGATACAATTTATGTACATTTTCATTCGAGATGGGACAGGTTGCGCGACTTTTACTGGAAACAACTACTTAGAATACCGTTGGGTGATATTACACGCGCCGAGATTAAGTATCACAAATCTACGGTTATGTTAAATTACAAGTTTAATGACGAGAGATGTTTAATAAAACAAAGCGTTGTTAAATACGTTGGCAACTGTATTATTGAACAATATTATCAAAAGTATTCTGTATTCCCTTTAGAATACATTTACTATAAAGATATCGATAAAAGCAATCGTACGGCAAGTCATGGACTCAATGAAGACGAGGCTATTAAAAATTATTGCATAAGTAAATACAGCGACCGAATAGAGTGTATACAACACTACCACTCATTCTATTACGAATTCGATAAACTTAATCACAGCAAAGATTCTAAGAATATTGTCGAAGTATTTTTCCAAATACCGTCAGAACCCGATATGGTGTACGAGATATCACTGAAAATGCCATTTGAAGAGTACGTGGTGTTTGTGGGATCACTACTCGGCCTATGGTTTGGTGTATTGGTCCTTATGTTTACTAATCTATTGATACAATTGTTGAGCAAAATTAAACTTTATATCTGTCATAATCAGCAAATTATTATTAAGCAAAATATAAACCGTACAAACAATACAAATCAGTTATTCACTATAAGAAAGGTCAGAATTAACCGTAGAGATGTTGGCAACCATAATCATGATCAATCCTAAGTAGGGTTGCCAACTCTGATCGACTATCGCCTTGAAAAATACAAAACTTTTCTAAATTCACCTTCACCAAACCTTGACCACCATTATTATTGCATATTTGATTATAAATATTTTTGAAATATGAGCAAAATGTTAATTTAAGCTTTAATTTATTTTAGTTTTATTATAATACAGTGTATTTCCCATATAAGATAGGGCTTTTTGAAGACAAAAGTCTTTCTTACAAAGGGTTTTTAATAAAGGATTTGTTTTCAATTATACAAATAGACAATTAATATTATTCTGTGCTTTAAATAGTGTGTTCATTACAATAAATATATAAAATAGACATACGGTAATTACATTTGCTCTCACCTTGACTTGTCTATGTCAAGGTGAGACCCTCGCCTTTCACCTTGACCAGAACCCTCTCACCTTGCAAATCAAGGCAAACCTTGACCAGTTGGCAACCCTAATCCTAAGCCATAAGATTATTATATTAACTCTGTTTTAACTCGCACATTTTAAGTATTTTATTAGTGTTTTAATATTAGAATTTAAAAAAATTTAACTATATAATATAAGATAACAAATGAATTGTTATTAGTTTCTACGAAAATCAAATTTATCTATCAATATATAATAAACTAATCGATAAATTTACACGCGCTGTATAACAATTCAATTAAAGTGCTTCAACATTTATGTCACTGTACTAAATTATTATCTAAAATTTTAATTGCTATTATACCAGGTTAAATTAACTCTTGTTGTATGTTATTGTATTTAATAATTTATAGATAACATAATTGTTTACTACCAGCATTTTGAATTAGTTGGTTTAAAACTATTATTAATTTTTAAAACATACAATTTACATAAATGTAAAGTTACTATGTCAATTTATCCGGAATGGCCAGTAGTTTCTAATTTTTGTTCTAAAAATGTTTACATCTTTTTTTATTATATTTAAAAGATTTAAAATATTAGACAAAATTATTTATAATTTAAAGACTTTGGAAATACAATAATAATTATTAAATGAACTAAAAACTGATAAATAAAAAAATGTTATTATTTTCCAAGAAAATAAAATTTGAATCAAAAAAGCAAATTGATAACAAATTATATTCATATCAGCATGAAAGTTTAGTACATTGGGCTTATATTGACATTTATTGCAAACATACAAGCTTAAATTGTGCAAGGTATACCAAAATATAATAGAAATTATAAACTATAAATAGTTTAAAACATTAATTTCATTTTATAAAATTTTCATTAATAACACAAATAAATATAATGAAAATAACATTACCGTATTACCCCGCTTATAGGTGCATGCACTTATAAGTGAATTTCACAGATTTTGCATGTCACAAAAACTACCGCACCTATATCCGGATATAAGTGCACCCCTTGTGTAAAAATCACATATAAGTGCACCAAAATTTATTTGTCAGAATTATTTAATAAATTAATGGGTAGATGATTCCTTATTTAATAATTTAAAGTAAATATTCATTTTAATTTCTTTCTTTGTTTTGTCACACTTTGATCACTGATTTTTTCATTTATATCCATTTATTCACTGATTATTTGAATTGATTCATTTGTGATGAATCATCACTTAAGGATATGTTTATTATATGAGATATTTTACACTAATGTACTCATTATTCATGAAGCTCATAAATAGATAAGAAAATTCATATAGAATTTAAACATTTAAAGTAACATTTTAGAGTTCAAAGTTTAATAATAAGTTAATCGACTTTCATTTCAAGGTATATGTAAATTTTAATTGAAAGTCAAAAATGTGTCAAAAACTACTGCACCTATATCCGGATATAGGTGCACCCCTTGTGTGAAAACTCACATATAAGTGCATGCACCTATAAGCGGGGTAATACGGTAGTATTATTAGTTGCGTATATCGTTGTCTGTAATGGACTGCCATTTGCCAATCAATTAACCGCCAATGATGTGGACAATAGCCACAAATGGGTCGTATTGTGCGCCGGGAGTAACGGATGGGAGAATTATGCCGATCAGGTATATTAACCCTTAAAATAAATTAATTGCATTATTATAATTTTACTCATTTTTAACCAATATTATTTAGGCACTAGTATACCGGGCATATCATTTGTTCCGCTCGTATGGCATACCGGAGAGCAATATAATTGTCATGCATTACGACGATATCGCACACAATAGCAAAAACCCTAACTCAGGAGTTGTCATAAACGAAATCGGGGGTAAAAATCTGTACCATGATATTTCCAAAGATTATGTCGGCACCGATGTTAACCCTACGGTAAAGTTTAATAAAAATTACTAATTAAATAAGAATTGTATTAATTATATGTAAATTTCATGTAGAACTTTTTGGGAGCAATAAGTGGTGACATAGAGTTAACCAAAAGAGGCAAGAAAGTAGTTAAAAGTGGACCAAACGATCACGTATTTGTGTATTTTGGCGATCATCGTTCACCTGGTAATATAAAGTTTATTTAAAAATAAATATATATTATTTTATCATGTTAAACATTTTACTTACAATATAAACAGGAATGGTTGAATTTAACCATGGCAAAGTGCTATACGCTACTGACTTAATCAAAACATTAAAGAGTATGCATTTGATGAACAAATACGCCAAGCTTATTTTTTATATTGATACTTGTAGTTCAGGTAACTGTATTTTAAAAATAAATTATAATTAATAAAAATTAACTTGGTAGCTTATCTCAATTAATCATTGTTAAAATTTATTTTTCAGGCTCAATGTTCAATAAAATACTTCCTGATAACATTAATGTGTATGCGGTCACATCATCTCTGCCAGATGAAACTAGCAATTTTTTAACGTATGATGATAAACTGAAAACATATATAAGTATGGTTAATTTATTATACACTTTATATTGTAATTAACAAATAATAATTTTACCAGGCTCGTTTTTTGCAAACAATTGGCTCGTAAATGATGAGACTTATGATCTGAAAAATGAGACATTTGATGAACAATATAAGTATTTTGCCGATAGAGTTAAAGTTGGTGAAGATTATCAACATGCACAACATTATGGCAATTTGAGCCTAGGTCAATTGCTTATTGCAGAATTTTTAGGCCATAAACAAAAAGGATTGTTAAATGTCCCTGGTAATAAACATATCCAAAATAATGAAACCGTTAGCAAATGGAATGTGGCACTAAATTTATTGGAAAAACTTATTAATAGTGTTAGCGATGATAACAAAAAATTACAGTAATTAACAATTTTACTTCAATTTAAAAAACAATAATTTTGGATTTTTTTATAAATAAATTTTGATAATATTCACAGTTATGTGAAAGAAATGGAAAGACTGTTAAATGGCAGACAATATGTGGACAAACATATCAATGATTACGTGAATAGTATTCAACACTTACTGACAGTCGATAGCAATGCTATTCTAAACGAAAAACTAGATCTCAATAATAGACAGTGTTATCGAAAATTTGCAGACACTTTTAACGAAAATTGCTTTGATTTGCAAAGACATCGATGGGAGTGAGAAAAGCTGTAATCATCACTCAGACACAACTACATATACATGTATGTGTTGATACAGATTGTGATAAAGACCTTAATCCGGAGTACAAATGTAAGGCTTAGGCAAAGCATGTGATGCACATTAAGCGTTTAACACTACAATTGAAAGTAATAACACGTTTTTGATAAACAATTAAATGAAATTCATGTAAAATCAATGATAAAATATTAAACAATGATCGTTTATTAAAACAGTTTTACTAATTTTAATTAATCAAATAATGCCATTGTTATTTTGGCTGATTACATTATTTATTTTATCATTTTTAAAGAATTTATTAAAATATATATGTATCTTTTACACATATATGTTTTTCTATTGACTGGTTTAAAATTTATCACTAAGTGATGATTACAGCTTTTCTTACTCCCATCGATGTCTTTGTTGATTTGACACAAGTACTAAAATAAAAAAATATTTATCTATTTTATAAAAATATATTGTATATTATATTATTTTTAGGATACTTACGTTTTACGCAAATTACAAGTATTTGTGAATATTTGTGAAACAATGCGTGAATCGAGTGATGCGGACATCGCTGTCAACCAATTGATACAACATTGCAGTCAATACACTAACAATCAATTTGGATATATTGTATAAATATATAATTAAAATTAAAACATACAATAACATTAATTTAATAATTTGCTCAATTTACCCAAAGCAAAATTACACCAAAACATTATGTTATGTTTTGATAATTTTTATTAAACTATATTATTATTGTATTTTAATTATTATGTGATTATTAATGCAAACTTATTAAATACATTTTTTCAAAACGTATTTTATTGTAAGAGTTTTTAGATATAAACTTTAATTAATTAGCTACATATTTTTAAAAAGTAATTGCTTAACATAACCATATGGAACTTTTTTAAACACAATACTAAACTAAAATACAAAATTATATTCACAAAATAGGCGTCATTATTATTATGATATAATTACTTTAATAATCATTTTATTTCATTGCTAACAATCATTGGTCAGTCAATTGGACGCATCGCTAGAGATACTAATATGTTGTCTCAATTCTGTTACGGATACCATCAAAAAATTAAGGTAAGTTTATATCTAGTTAATTTTAAATTAACATTAAATATTGTTAATTACAGGGCTTTTAAAAATATAGATTACTTATTAAACAAATGGCTAATTATCTGAAGAAGTATCTCAATTACATTAATCTCTTGATTATGGTTAAAACCGGTGCTATCATACACGGCCAACAAACGAGTTACTAGAATCTCTCGTAAGTACAGAGCCAGCATACACAGCATTATGATGATATTAACGTGAGTAAACTGTATATAAATATTAATTGTTAATTAACTACCCATAATATTAGGTATTCTGTGTTTCTATCTAGTAAATTTTAAATTAACATAAAATATTTCCAATTACAGGGCTCTTAAAAACATAAGACTTTTTAAACAAATGGTTAATCATCTAGAGTATCTTAATAGCATTAATCACTTGATCGGTGTTGAAACCGAAGCTATGATGATATTAACGTGAGTAAACTGTATATACAAATTATTTGTCAATAAACTACCTATAATATTAAGTATTTTGTGTTACACTTTAAGGCACTTTATGTAAAACCTTACGGTGGGTTTAACATGAGAAATAAACTCATCACGATCAGCAATTGTACAAGCTGAAAGTTACATAGACTTCAATTCCCAAGTATTAATATAAGAATTATAACACTTTATCTTAGTTGTAAACAACTTAATATAAATAATATATCTAGAATATACATTCTAGACAAAAGTTTTATCCTACAAATTAATCATTTTATTAGGTTTACAGTATTTATTAACAATATTTAACATGTTTATTATTTATTATAAACCTTATTGATAGTATTGCAGGGTAGTGCTGAATTAAATGCCGCTAGTAAAAAGTGGTCAAATATGGACTAAATGATCACGTGTCTGTCTATTTTGGCTGCAATAGTTAAACAAGTAAAACTAGATTAATTAAATAAGTGTATTAACATGTTGTTAAGGTGCTAACTATTAGCAATCACAATAGACCTGGTTGCTTTCCCTCATCTTACTTATACGCGAATGTCTTAAACACAATTTTGTTCAAATTGAACGAGGAGAAAAAGTTTGCCAAGCTTGCAATTTACTTGGACACATGCAATTCGGGTACTTTTTATACCATTTTAATGTATTTGATAACCTAATAATTAAAACTAACTTGTCTACAAATATTGTCTTAACTAGGTTTAATGTTCCAAAACCATTTGTCCGCTAATGTTAATATATACGCATCCACATCATTCGATTACGACGAGCTCATTTGGCTTTATATCTACAATGATAATTACAAAACATATATAAAACTTTACTAATTTTACTAATTACAGTTATTTATTTGACCAGGCTCATTCTTTGCCGACAACTGGCTGGACAATGAGGCGCAGTCTGACATAAACACCGAGACATTACAACAACAATACCAATACCTCAAAGACCACCACACCGTCCAAAACCCGCACTCAAACACCACACATGAAATACACGCTCAACAGTACGGCTATGTGACCATTACCAAAACCAAGGTGGCCGAGTTATTGGGTGAGCTTGATTGATTTTGTATTATTTAATTTTTATTATTTAGCATATTATTTAACATCTGTTTTCATTAAACAAAATTACATTTAAAATAACAATTTTAAGATTTTATAAAGCCTTATTAAATAATAATTTAGGCAACAAAGTTACATATTTTATTAATATAAATTAAGTTACATAACACATCAATATTAAACTAAAATAAATTAAAACAAAATATAACTTATAGGCTATAAGCTATAGCCTAAAACAAATACAATATTTAATAGACCTGCGTAAACTAATACAAATGTTTTACACTATTATACCAATAGAACTAATAAGGGTTTAAATGTATTGTTTTATAGTTTATATAGTTTAAGATTCATCACAAATTTGAAGGGCTTTAAACAAAAGTGACGTGGTTTATAAATCACCTTGTTAATATGCAAACTATTATTCATGATAAACGTTACTATTAATATAGTCTTCGCATGCCCTGTGTTTTGATAAAAATTATTATAAACAAACAAAACACATGTTTTTAATAAATAATTTTTATTAATAATAAATAAATATTATAAATAACAAAAAATGGATTTGAAGATAAGAGATAAAGAGAGAGCCATTGAAGAACTTGAGAGAGCTATTGAAGAGAGACAGAGAGCTATTCAAGAGCAGGAGAGAACTGTAGGAGAACGGGAGAGAGCAGCTGAAAAGAAGGAGAGAGCCATTCGGGAGAGAGATAGCCATTCGAGAGAAGAGGAGAGCCATTGGATTGATAGAGAGTGTCATTGGAGAGAACGAGAGAGTCATTGGAGAGATCGAGAGAGTCATTGGAGAGATCGAGAGAGTCATTGGAGAGAAAGAGAGAGCCATTGGAGAGAAAAGGAAATTCAAGAGAGAGATAAGAGAGAGCCAGAAGTCACTAAAAGCTACCCCAAAAATTTCATCAAGGTATTTCCAACCTCAATGGAGTTTAAATTATTTTTTTATAAAACAGGGTAGTTTTTGTATCTGTTTAATTTGCAAAACAACTAATTGCAATAAGGGTAAAATTAATTTTATAACAAAACAAAGTTTAAAAAAACATTATGATCGATTTCATAAAAATTATTTAATTACAAATGATATGACAATTCGCCAGGATAAATTTAATGAATTGTTCAAACTATATAATAATAATTATTCTATTAATAATAATATAACAATTAATAAAAATAAGCAAATAAGTAATATTATAGCTGTAAATATTGCCAAACATATGAAACCCCTAAATACAGGTCAATTTTTAATAAAGTGAATTTTATTTATAACAGATTATTTATATCCTGGTAATTTAAATATTAATAATAACATAAATAAGTTATATTTAAGTCCACAAACTATTAAGAAGGAAATTACATTAACTGCTAATAAATTATATAATCAATTAAAACTTAAATTAAATAATATTAAATATTATTCAATATGTTTGGACGAGACAACTGATTTGATTGGTAAAAAATATTTGATAATATATATTAGATATATTGATAGTAATTTTAATTGTAATGAAGATTTTTTTTATTTAATTGAAGTTAAAACTAGATCAAAAAGTGATAATTTATTTAAAATTATTTTACAGTGTTTTAATAAATATAATTTGGATATTAAAAAATTTGTGTCCATAACATCAGACGTTGCGCCTAATTTATTAGGCAAGAATAATGGTTTAGTTGAATTGTTAAAAACACATTTAAATATTAATTATGGTAAAAATTTGAAAAATTTTCATTATTTTTTACACAAACAAAATTTAATAATTAAAAATATAGAATTTGAAACAATTGTTAAACATGTTGTTTAAATTATCAATTTTTTAAAATCTAAAGGTAATATAAATAGAAATTTTAGAAATTATCTGGCTACTAAAAAAGCTCAATTCTGTAATGTAATTTATTATACGGAAATAAGATGGTTATCTCTCGGTAATTGTTTAAACCGATTTTTTATATTACTTAACCATATAATAAATTATTTAAATTAATTGGTAAAACAAATAAATTATTAATAATACAGAATAAATATTTTCAATTAAAATTAGCTTTTTTAGTCGATATTATTAATAATATAAATAAATTAAATATGTTTTTGCAAGGTAAAAATAAATTTATAATAGATATGATCTGCAATATTAATACATTTATAACGGGTTTAGAAAATTTATTAATTAATATTCAAAACTACCAATTTAATAGTTTATCTAATACTGCACTTATAATTAATAAATATTCATTAAATTATAATAATAAGAGTAATAAAATTTATATTAAAAAATTTGTTGAATTTATAACAATTATTATTAATAAGTATAAAAAACAATTTAAAGATTTGCAAAAACATGAATACCAATTTAAATTATTTAATAACCCTTTTGGTTTAATTAATAATCAATATTACAGTAAATATCATAATGAAATTAATAATTTAATATTATATGAAACAGAGTTTGAAAATATTAATTTTAATAACGGTAAAATTGAATTTTATAAAAACTTATCTGGTGAATTTAAGAAATTAAAAAATAATTGTCTTAAATTGCAAACTTATTACGGTTGTCAATACATTTGTGAGCAGTTCTTCTCTAAATTAAAATTTAAAAAAGATCATGCACATGCCATTAATTCAACCACATTATGTGATATTTTAAGAATAACATGTAATGATGGCAATTTGTACTAAATATTAATCAAACAATCTGTATATTTAATCATAAATTGCATTTAAATACTTTAAATAGCATAATATGATATGTAATTTAATTTAAATATCATTGTATATAACAAATGACCAAAAAATTAATTTAAATAAAATATTTTAATTAATTAAAAACATGTAATTTTAGTAACTATTTTGATTACATTTCTATAATTATTAACTATTTTTAAACTATTTTTATTTATTTTAATGTTGATTCACAAATATATTTAAACTCCACCACTCATACTTATGTACACTATATATGATTAGACCGTGAATAAGGCATTACTTTCAAAGCATATTAAAATATTATTTGATTCTAGACGTGATTCTAGGCTTTTGTTAGTTTAAATGTATTATTTTATAGTTTAAAAGTGGCAGCAGTTTAAGAATGCAGTGAAATCTACTAAACTGTTACATTTAGTTGGGTTTATGGATTGGGCATTAAATTTGTAGTTAGGGTTCGGGTCAGGTTTCATCGGGTTCGGGACATTTCGGTCACTAGTATTAGTGATGTGATTAACACATGGAATGTAGGAATCGTAATGTGAGTCCACATTTCAAGTCAATTCACAATTACACAACACTAACACATATTATTTCCATAAGTAATTATTAATTAAAACTCATTTCAATTAATTTTATAAAATAATATTAAATTACAATTAATTTTTAAGATAGTGGCCAATGGACATGAAGTTACAATATACATGTATATAAATAATTGGGACTTCATATGGACAGCAACATGGGCAAATACTCATTTAATTAATTACAATTAAATAAAATAATTTTTATAAAACTTACATAACTTTTAAATACAGTTCACAGAACAGTGCCATTAGACGCTTTCATATTAAATCCATAACTAAATATTAAATTGCCTAATTTGCATAATTGTCCAAACTATATTAATTTTTACTATTTATGTATTGTTATGATATTCGTATTAAGGAAATTTAAGCTAAATAATAAAAAATAATAAATTGTTATGAATTTCCATGAAAACCACATTTATCTATATGATCAATTAAGTGATAGACTAACACGCGCTTTATAACAATTTAATTAAACTGCTTCATAATTTACTACAGTGTTGCAATATTACAAATGAACCGTTTCATCTTAATAATTTTGGCTTGGCTTAATAATCAACCACAATACAATCTTAAAGTTAAAGTGACTTAATTTTTAGAATTTATGATAGTTTTATAACAATTATTTTATTTTTATTTTACTTTTTCCGTATGGTTGTAAAGTTATAAAATTATAATTACAAATATATAACTTAACTTTAATTAAATTACGAGAGAGAGAGAGAGAATAAGAGCATCATTTTTATTACGCGGTAATTAACCTAAACTTTACTTTAATCATTTATTTGATTAGAGAAAATAATAAAATTATTCTTATTACTTATTTTTGGGTAATCTAATGGCAATACTTATGTAGGTTTTATTGCCTAATTAATTTTAAATATTTAATATATAATCCCAGAATGTTAAAATTATACAATAAATTAAATATCAAAATTTCGAAATTATTAATTAAAAATCACACGACTTTTTAAAAAAATTTTCTCGAAAAAATAAAACTATTAAATTACAAATAGAATTAATGTAGAGGAGAAAGGATGGGTTGTAAATTTAATAGAAACATATGGTAGATGTTAGGACCGGCCCATTCCCTTATATAATATATAATCAACACTCTGATACAGGGTGTACAATAATGGACCTAACAAAAACAAACTTGAATATTTTGAAAAGTATTTCATTTAGAAATTCAAATAATACATGAATCGTGTGAATTTTGTTATGTTATGGGCAATATGTTTGACAGCTATCAATGCCAATGTCTAAAAACATAAAATATAAACATTTTTTACAGAGACATAATGTTAAATCTTAACTAGTTTTCAAATAGTATCCTGAAATACGTGACATTTTCTTTTGTGTTGACTTTATTAATCTGAGAATTTAAATTATGTTTAACTTTTTTTTTATATATATAGATAATTTTTCAGATTTTATGTTCACAAAATATTGTAATTTTACAATAAATTCATCATTATACAAAAACTAATTGCAAAACAAAAATTTTGCTTCTAGATTAATAAAGTGAACATAAAATATGTTAACACGAATTTCACTTAAAAATCCATTTGAACATTAACATTATGTTTGTAAAAAAATATGTTGTTATTCGAGATTAACCTTAATATAAGAGGTCATCCATATTGCCCATATCATAAAATCTCACGCAGTTAAAAATTAATTTGATGTATTATTTTGATTTTTAAACATATTATTTTTTAAATATTTGCGTTTACATTTTTTTAGGTATATTTTTGTACACCCTATAGAATGTAATTATCACTTTATCTAAACATTAAAAATTATTCATTTGTATTAACCAATTAAATGCGTGCTATTTGTACGCATATACTGAGTGTTAGTTTAATGATATGATCTTATATATTACTTGGACATCAAAAATTTTAGTCGTCACAAATAAATTACTACTAATAAAACATACATTAAATTTTTTTACAAGTAAGTCACTATTAATATATATTATCAGTAAATCGGTCGTTTAAATAAACATTTAATCCACTTAGCCAATAATGACCAGGACAGCTCTATTGTTATTGGCCACTTTACTAGTGCTGTCGATCGCGATAGCTGAAGTTGGTTCACAGGCTTCATTGGGTACACAGTCTGGAGCAGCCAATACTGGTGGAAACTCTGTTTATAAGAGTACCAATAGAGCGGGCCAAGGTTGCGACCCAAAAGCCAAACCGATTAAATGCGGGGCCAACGAATTTTGCGAAGATAAAAACACATGCAAACAGAAAAAAGAAGCTTGCCTTAAATATGGACCAAACTGCGAACGCGATATAGCTCAACAACAACGTAAATTAAATAAATGCAAAAAAAACAAAGACGATTGCCAGAGAGGACGAGAATATCAGGATGAGGGAACTTTAACAAAAGCGCTCGATAACACGAAAGATTATTGCAAGAATGAACAGAGCAAAATGAAGAAATCATGTGACACTCCAGAGTATAAAAACTGCAAAAAGGTTTTTATATGCTCACACGAGAAACTAGTCGGCAAATAATAATTGCCCACAATTTTGGCTAATAATGTCATTATACGTAATATCTTTAATTATATTTTTGCCCGATTAATTGTATTTTGCATTATTGCTCTTATTTTTAATAAATACATGTTATTATAACTATAAATTGGTTTATCTTTATTATGTATGTTTTATGTATTTTGTATTCATTTTTTATGTGATATATTGTATTGTTTTTTGTGTCTCTTATGTTATTTATTAAATGATAATTTATTTTTATTGTTTATAGAAAGTTTCGAATGGTCTGAATGGGGCGGCGGTTACAACAAAGTACTGTCTATAGGGACGTCTGGGAACGCTAAATACAACATCATTAAAACAATCATAATACTATATGTGTAAATTACAATCAATTTATTTGACCAGGCTCATTCTTTGCCGACAACTGGCTGGATAATGAGGCGGAATCTGACATAAACACCGAGACATTACAACAACAATACCAATACCTCAAAGACCACCACACCGTCTAAAACCCGCACTCAAACACCACACATGAAATACATGCCAACAGTACGGAGATCTGAATGTGGCCAAGACCAAGGTGGCCGAGTTTTTGGGTATGTAGGATTAATTTTATATTATTTATTTGAGTTTCATTAATTAATTTTTGTTTTAAATATCAGGTCTTAAACTTAAAAACGCCGATAGATTTGTGCCACACTTGGGCTCAAACACCGATGCGGTCAACAAATACGATGTGTCCATAGATTTACTGCAGAGACGTATTGCCAGCGCTCAGGATATCAATGAGAAAAATAGGTAATTATTTATTTATATTATAAAAATGATACAAAAATTTATAACATATTAAAGCGTAATACGATATAGACACACCCTTATTCCCATTGAAACCCATACTAAACACTACCCATAGCTAACCCCCCGTATATTTTACTTCCCCCACTTGAAAGGCACCCCAACACTGACCACATTCCAGGGCTGGGTATAAATACCACAGCCCTGTCCAGTGATAAGTCAGTTATAGTTACGTTCATGGAGAGGGTCGTTAGACTTCTCTCTCCACTTAAGCTCTACCATTAAATGCTACACTTTTTATATAACTTTATTTTCTATTCATTTTATTCTTATACTAAGTGATTGACAATAAATAGTTTGCTTATTAAATAATATTGTTGTATTGTTTGTGTTGTGTCGCAAGCGGTGAGCGCAGGCCACCGGACAGGTGGGTCACATAACCCCAGAGAATACGGTAAGTGTCGCCTATGGGAGTGCAGCTCCGGTAAGTTTATGCCTGTTTGCCCCTATTGTATGCTATTTAACCCCCAATTATTAACCAACATATTGTAATATTAGTTACTTTTATTTTGCAGTCTTATCGTTAAGTTGGAGGGCTTATACGCCGGCAGACAATATGTGGACAAACATATGACTGAATACGTGAATAGTATTCAACATTTACTGACAGTCGATAGCAATGCTATTCTAAACACTAAACAAGAGCTCAATAACGAAGAATGTTATCGAAAATTAAGCATTTGTTATGTATACTAATATCTAAATTGAGTTTTTGTATGTATTTTGTATTGAATTTACACTAAATCTTATTCCACTTTTAAATAAATCTTATTCCACTTCCAAATGTATATTGTAAAAACTTTATATATAAATATAAAATATATCACTTTATATTGAATAAAATTTTTAATTGAGTTATAATTTGAAATCTATTTTACAAATTGAATTGCTTTTTATATAATTATAATAAACCCAATGTTGAAGCAGTTTTTAATAAAGTTACTGATTTAAAAAACACTGAAAAATGCTGTTATTTTTTGTATAAATTATTTATCTTAGTTTTGTGTTATAATTATAATTAATATCTATAAATAATTTATTACAGTAATAAAGGAGAAAAGAGAGAGAGGGAGAGAGCGAGAGAGATAGAGAGATAGATAGATAGAGAGAGAGAGAGAGAGAGAGAGAGAGAGAGAGANTACACATATCATCTGTAAAAACTTTGAAATATATAAAGTTTACATATAAAATAAATAAACTTTATATGCTATATATTGTATATAGTATATTAATAAAAATGGACATTATAATGTCCATTTATGGTACTGCAATGGACAAGGGACAAGGCAGCCCAAAAATGGACAATCCATTGCAAAAATTGGGCTAAAATTGTTATTAAAATGGACTAATATAACATCAAGTAGTTTTATAATTATTGGACACAATGATCTGAAATATAGGATTGCCATACGGTTTGCGGCACTGGAGAAGTGGATATGATGAACAACTAAACATTATAACAACCGCCAGGGCAAATCAATATATAAATTTACTAAACTAATGACATCTAACTATTGAAAGTAGAATTTATTATAGTTGATAAACAAATTAATTCAATCATACATTAAATTCTAATTGCATTTTGTATTAATGTTTGATTGGCAGCACATATGCTATAAATGGCGGCCAAACATCGCCGTCAGTCTCATCAACTCGTTTAGTATTGGCACTAAACTCGTCGGAAGACAACAACTGTGTTCACAACCAGTCGAATGCACTAATCATATCCACTCCCAATGTTCAGACCCTTACGTAGATCCTAAGTGAATGGCTTATAATCCTAAGTGTATAGTCTATTTTGTTCGGGTAAAGCTGTATATTAATAAATTAAAATAAAATTTAAAATCACCATTCTAAATCATAATTACGTTGTAGGCAGACATATAATACTCGCACCAATTGGTTCGATCGCAAGGTATTCCCGATGAAAATAAAATTGTTATGCACAACAATCTGGCCAACCCTACCCCCGGCATTGTTGGTAACCATGGTAATGGCACCGATGTTTACCACAGAATGAGCAAACATTATACTAGCGATCATGAAACAATTAAGGTATTAAAAAATTGAAAATTGGCTTTTCACATGAGTAATGCCATTCACCAAAATTATAATGCTATAAAACGAATGCAAGCATCTAGAAATTTTTCAAAACTTTTTTGTACTAACATTATCAGCTATTAACGTAGTTTTTAAAAACATTATTAATTATATTTTAATACAATATTATTTTACCCTCCCATAGTTTAACATGCAAAAATAGGTCATTTTTGTCCATTTATTGCATAAAAACCTGCAATGTTATCATGAAAATTCTAAGTTAGTGCAACACTGTAACACCTCCTTTATCCACTCCTAACCCCCACCCCACCCTACTATTACCACAATAGCAAATAAGTATGGGTTCCGATAATTACCCATTTTTCAAAAAATATAATCACGTGACTGAAAAATTATTTACGCTATAAAATTTTCCCGATATGTGTGAAGCAACACTAATGTCAACTCAGCGGTTCCCGAGTAATCGCCAAATTCCGGCGACCAAATTTTATTGGACACCATTATAAATATTATTTTATTTAATTAATGTCAATTTAATACTTAAATTTAATTAACTTTTATTTCTTTTTACAAAATGTACACATTTATTATTATTAATAAACTTTTCATTATGTGTAATATTGTACAATCACTGCGATCAAGTTTAATTACTAAGAGATTAAAAAGTTAAATAGCCTAAATGTATAATTATTTATTATATTAAACATAAAATTTCTAACGCGTTTTATGCACTAACTTTTAGAATCTTATTATTAAAGTGAGTAAAGGCGAGAAAAGTGATTTAACTAATTGTTTTATTTTTTAGAAACTAGCAGAATTACAATAATTAATTTTGTACTTTAAAGACCGTATTATTTTCAAACAATACTGTACTCCACTAGGGTTACCAGATGTCCATTTTTGCAATGGATTGTCCATTTTTGGGCTGCCTTGTCCCTTGTCCATTGCAGTACCATAAATGGACATTATAATGTCCATTTTTATTAATATACTATATACAATATATAGCATATAAAGTTTATTTATTTTATATGTAAACTTTATATATTTCAAAGTTTTTACAGATGATATGTGTAAATCATAAAAATCTCACGGCAAGTGTTAGCAATAATATGCTGTTTTATATAAAATACAATTGTATATTAAAAACTTCAGGCTTAATTACTGATGGCCATAACCAAGGTCGCGTTCATTTTCAATAAGTTTAGGCTATTCATACAGTGTAAGAGGCCTACACAATACACAATGTATATACAGTACTGTATAAATCAATTAGTAACCTTGACGTTCAGTTTTTGGCCATCTCAAGGCTTAATGCTATTTATATTATAAAAATCTATAAATTTTTTAATGTTTTGTTGTTGTAAACAAAAAACATGTAATGATTTAGTTTTATTTTGATTGTAAGTTAGGGAAGTAAATTGAATAACAATTAATTTATAATTGATTAAATTGTGGATTTAGTTACTGATTTCAATTGTTAACCAAACAATAATTAACCAATAAGGTAATTTATTATGCTTAAAATTATGGACTAATGCTAGAATTTATATAATTTTTAAGTTAATTAAATCTGATATTTTTATAAAAAATAATTTTTAAAAATTGTCCTGATTATAAAAATTATGCGAAAACAAATGAAAATCTATTAAAATCAGTTTAATTATCATTAATATATACAGTATTAAATGATTTTAAAATATCCATTAATACAAAATTATTTTCATAAAATATGTGTCCATTTTTTCTGTGTATTATTCTATTAAAATCCATTTTTGATGGAAAATAATCTGGTAAGTCTATACTCCACACCAAAAAGCTAAACAATGTTCTAAAGGTTATGCATAAAAATAAGAGCTTTTCGCTCATGGTATTTTATCTCGGATCATGTTTAGCTGGTAAATGAGAGTGAGTGAGTGAGAGAGAGAGAGAGAGAGAGAGAAAGAAAGAGAGAG